TAACTGAATCTTGCCCTTTAGATGTTTTTGAGACAGGGTCTTGTAAATCACTAAGTTGTTCATTTAGTTTTTCACAAAATGTCCAGATTCATAGGGAGCCTGAAAAAGCCAAATTAAGAATGGGCTATCTCTGGGCATTTCTACTGTAAAAACAAGTATCTAACTTGTTACCTAACATGTTAGACTCTGTAGTTAAGATGCACATAATTAGATGAAAAAAAATACACATACACATAAATAGGACATATTCATTACTCTTTCTGAATTCTTCACTACTGTGTTAACTGTATTTGGTGTGGAACTGCACTGTTAAGAAAAAATTACTTTCATGTTATTCAAAAAAAGAAATAATTGGACAATCGTATACACACATCAATGGTAGACAAATAAATGTAAATTAAAGCAACAGGACACTACTTTTCATGTGTTAGATTGTCAGAGATGAAAAAGACTCAAAGCTGAGGACAGTACAGAGAAGCACTATACCATCATACACTGCTGGCCACGATGGGAATTAATACAGTTTTTCTGGAGGCCACTTTGTCAACCTTTATCAAAAACTCTATAAATATATTCAAACTTTTCTACTCAGAAATTTCACAAGTGCTTGTGTTGCATGTGAGAGCCCAGGGTTCAATCTCTGGTTTAAAAAAAAAAAAAAAGTCTGTAACTTTAGCTTCAAGAAATAATTACACAAGTATACAAAATATGTACTTATAAGGATATCTACCATAGTATGGATTATAATAGAAATACTGAAGAAAACCTAATTGTCCAATCTCAGGAAATGGATTAACTTTTGGTTTATTTACATAACAGAATATTATGAAGCTTCCACACTTGTGATACAATTATGTCTATTGGATATAGTGTTGGTTGAAAATATGTTAAGTAAAAACAGTATGAAGCAGAGCAGGGACCAATTTTGGTGAAAGAAATGTGAGTGTGTGTATGCATGCATATTATATGTATATTCATGTACACAAAGAACAAAAATCTTGAAAGAAATATACTAAAATGGCATGAAAGTTTCTAGGATAAAATTATAGGTTAAAAACTTTTCCTTTTACTAATTTGCAACTGCTTTTTATTCTATAACAAATACGCAGAGTGCAAAATTTAAAACAGTAAATACTTAACACTAAACTTTTAAAATAAAAAGCATAGGCTTTTGCACAGAAGTATTTATAATAAAAAATAATCCCTGGCAAATATAAAGCAATTTCTATTATACAAATAAACAGATATCTGAATCATAATGTTAAATATATATCTATACTGAAAAATAAAGATAGTATTAAGAAACATTTAGACAAAGCCAGGTATACTGGTGCATTCTTGTAATCTCAGCGTTTGGGAGGTTGAGGCAGTAGGACCTCAAGTTTCAGGAAAGCCTTGAAAATTTATTTAGCCAAATGGCAGTTTATTTCATTTTCCTTTTTGGCCAGGATATATTATTCCTGGACAGAATTCCATTAAGCAGATATTTTCTCAGAGAAATATTATTATTATCATAGGTGGTTAAGTACTCAGCTGCAGATTTGGCATCAAATACAACAAATTCATTTATGCAGAGACACAATGTAAAATATTTTAAATACCTACTTTTGTTTTTGTGTTACTAGGAATTGAACTCAGGACATGGTGTGAGTAGTCACATACTCAAAAAAATTGATGTGCTAAAATTATACTGAATAATGGCATGTGGAAAGTACAACTACTACTCAACCTATTTAAAATGAATGCTAAGTTTAATGAACATTATATATTTGGTAAAATTGTTCTGATTGCCTTATTAGAATTAAGGCAAATTCTAGAAGAAATTACTGAAATAGTTCACCTCTAATTTTGAAAAATTAAGTACTGAAATAATGGGGTTTTCAAACTGATGAATCCCTATTCATGAAAAGTAGCAAGAAAGAAAAAAAAAAAAGTAGCAAGAAGGGCCGGGGATTTAGCTCAGTGGTGCCACACCTGCCTGGGGAGTGCAAGGTCCTGAGATCAATCCCTGATACAAAAACAAAAACAAAAACAAAACAAACAAAAAGCAAGAAGAGGTATTTCAAGCAACTCTATTGTCTTTTAGCTATATTTGCGCTCTATAGTGTATAGGGCTTAAAAAGTGTTCACAAGAGTTCCAAGTATGAGGGTTTGAAAAAAAGTTGCTTAAGTGCAAACATACTTTCGATAAATTTTATGGTAAGTATAGCTACATACATAGCCAATTAGAATTACGTGAAAACACATGCTATCCCCAACCATTTTCCCTGCCATTTACAACTTATCTGGTTCATTCTTCAGAGTACTGGGAAGTATTCTGTAAATCAAAATGAATGACTGATGCAGAAGGAAAAAAAAGAGTAAAAAGTGAGGGCAGAAGAGGAAAAAAAGGCCAAGACAATCCTAAATGTGGACTATGTAGTACAGTATAATGGGAGACTAGAAGGGGATAGACACTGTACTTTGAAATTATGAATAATAAAAGTCCCTGTTTTAACAGCTTTCTCCCTAAGATATCTATCTACAAAATTCAGTTTCTAAAATTAAAAAATAAGGAGATGGCAATTTGCCTTTCAAAATTTCCTTCAGGTTTCTATTAAGCATGCATTTAAATTATGATTTTTATTACTAAATTTGATTTTTATTTTTCCATAGAGGTTGTCAAGTCCAATTCAGTCAGTGGAGGGATTCTATTTTTTTCTGGTGCTACTCTTGACGGGTAGTAATTCAGTTTTTTTGAAGACTGCCAAAAAAGGCAAACCTCCTATCTCAGGAGAAGAGCTAGTGAAATGTGGACAGTCCAATGGTGGGTCAGATTTTCCCCATAACAAATGGAAATCTACTTCCCTGTAATAGCATCCTCCTGCTTCCATTTTTGTCTGATCTAGACATGCTAGATAAAATCTAACCACATATACAGTTCAGATATTATACTCCTAAAATGGTCTCCTTACGAGTATAATAACCTTATCCTTCTATTGAGTGTTTTGGTCAAAAGGCCTCATTCCATTTATACAAAGTAAAGCAGGTTTCTCGTTCCTATCTTGTATCATTTTGGTGATTTTCAATGAAATAATAGTCAACTTACAGTTGTGTTAGTTTTTGACTCACTTTTCATTACATAAAAGCCTTTTCAGAAACTCAATTATTTTACTCAATTTATTAATTCTGCATTCTAGTTTTGTCTAATTTATAAATATGTTATGTGGAACTTGCTTGAATAAGCCCCATATATTTTCAGAGACATCTGTTGTGGTGCACAGGTTGCGCCAGGGTTATAAGTACCATAACTAACTGGTCTAACTTTCCCATTGTCTTCCTCACCCTATACATCTTTTTCTCTAGAGGCTCTCAGAGAAAGGTGCCTACATTATTAGAACAACAGATACTTCAAATGATTTATGGGCTGGCCTGAGTAGAATGGAAAGATTTAAGTTCCCCATCCAGTAAAAAGAGAAAGTATTAGATTTACTATGACACTGTATGGAAAATCTACCAAATGCAAGCTCTGGGTGGTCACTAGCACCACCAAGATCTGTCAGCCTAAATACATATATTGTGTAATATAGTAAGGAGCAAAAGTTTTAGGACATGGCTTCTAGGATTAAATCCTGATAACAGGATTTGCTTGTTGCACAATGCTGGATGAGTTATTTATTTTCTCTGTGCCATGATTTCTTCATTAGTAAATAAGGATAATCATAGTTACTGCTTTGGTTTGGCATCGAAAAAAATGGAGGGAAGAAAAGGAAGAGCAATTGGAAGTAAATACAGAAAGTGATGGTGAAGGTGGTGGGTCTTATTCTTGCTTTTTAAAATTGCTCACTCCAATTTACCACTCAAACTTTTTCTTTTTGCATTGAGAAATTCAGTCAGGGATAGATGAGATTTCTTACTTGGTGATCAGTACATAGAATCAGTGTTCTCAGGGTCCTTTCCTCTGTCAGATTATAGAACAAATGCTCATGAAGTTAATATTTAAAACATTCAAAAGACTAACTTATAGGCAGCTAGCAGGAATGTGAAGGTTTCTTCAAAGTATCTCATTTCATCTTATATATTTTGGTTGTACTGAACTCTTTTATGTTCTTCAGACATGGACATTAAATGACTTTAATTAAGTTTTATTAATAAGCTACCATAAATATAAATGTAGTGGTACTATGAATCAAAATAAGAGTATATTCTCCCCGTTCCTGTGCTAAGGGATTGAACCCTTATTCACGTCAAACATACATTCTACCTCAGCAATTTTCTTTCTCTCCCTCCCTTCTGTCCTCTCTTTCCCTCTCTTTTTCTTTGTGCACTATAGAATGACCCCAGAGAGTACTAAGCTACATCCCAGCCTTTTTTCCCCTTTGAGACTATCTTTTGTGAAGTTGTCCAGGCTGGTCTTGAAGTTTCAATCCTGCTTCAGAATCTGGAGAAGCTAGGAATGAAGACATGCACTACTGTGTATACCCAGCTTTCCATAAATATTTGTCCGAATGTTGTTGGCACAATTTTTAAGTGGCTGTGGGTCATATATTACATTCTAGTGTATGCATACCTCACATAAGAATCTGAGCAGTGGAGGCACTGAAACTCAAAGAGCCATAGCTGGTGCTATAAACATACTATGATGAATCTTCCTCCACCTTTAATCTGACTCCTGAGATTAGTTCCATCTATGACTCCAGGTAGAGGCTATTTTGGTTCTCTATTTTCTAGGCTATTCCTGGCTCAACCTTGATCCCCATTTGTACCCATAATACATGATGTTATTTGTTACATTAAAATATATACCACTGAAAGGACAACAGAAAAGATGAGAAAAAGCACTAAAATGTGTAAAAAGTTCAGGAAGGGGAAAAGCCTGTAATTTTTCATGTTCTGTTCTCTTTTATATGTTATTGGTTCTGTGACAGTGTCTGTGTAAACAGAATACATATGTATATTTAAAAATTACATGCATATATAACTATATGTATATCTAATATGTTTCAATATTTCATACTGACCTTGGGGGGTTTAAATGGATAGTCTGGTGAAAAGGTAATGTCAAGAAAGAACACTCCTCCTTCATAAACAGATCCTGGGGGTCCCAATATAGTTGACCTCCATTCATAAATGTTGTCTCCTTTGGGTCCAGCACTGAAATGAGACATATAAATGAAATCTGCTTAGAAATTACATAAAGTCTGGAATTTAAAAAAATCAATTTATTTTAACAAATTGAGCAAGTCTATAAAAATACAACAAAGTTAACAGATTAATTATATATTATGATTCATATGTCAACATCATTACTTTATAAGTGAAATAGGTTGGTATTATTTAATAAACATAATCAATTACATTAGGTTTGTGCCAATCACAAACCTAAGCCTATGGAAGATTCCAAGGACCAGAAGTAGGAGCACAACTGATTAAATGTGACATTATTTGTAAAGTCTTGAAAAGGGAGAAATAGCTTTGGGGCCAAAGAGACAAAATTTCAAAGCTAGAAGGACCACCAAAGAAAAGACTAAACACATTTGCTAACAAGTATCATATCCAAAGAGGATCTTCTTTATTTACCCCAATATCACTCCATTTGTCATGAACCATGTGGTCCGTAAATAAAATGTATCATTTAGTTTTATAACTCTATTTTAAAGTTACTACTTCTTCCTTCCCTAGAAGAAAAATTCTTTGAGGTACAGATTTTGTCTTGTTCTTAGTGCCTAGTAAGTTAGTAAGTACCTGTTTGTTGTGTGCTGATAGAGAAGGAAAGGAAGTCACATGGCTAGTAGTTGCCAAAATACGTCTGAGCTGCAGAGATATTCACTGAAGAAAAAGAGGCCCATATAAGCCAAGTGAGTTGTATTAGTTCTTTCAAGTGAAGGGAAGGGCAAAATGAGATTAGATTTTAGCTTTCAGGATCAGGGTCACTTTCAGGATCAATGATAGGGCACTTGCTTAGCATGTGTGAGATGCTGGGTATCCTCTCCAGCACTGAGGGGAGGGGAGGGGGGAGGGAGGGAAGGGAGGGAGAGAAGAAAATAAAGAAAAAAAATATACAGAGAGAGAAAACATTGCCAGGGACTATATTCATTAAGGTACGAATAAATACAAAGAAAAAGCAGGCATATGAATTGGGATGAAAAAAATAGTATTTATGGTGTTTTGGTATTTATAGTATGTATGTAGGCAGGAAAAAAATCCACATTCTATATATAATTTATTAAACTTAATAAAAATTAACAGTATGGCTAATGTAAAATCAATATCCAAATATAAACTTCATTTGAATATACCAACAGAATCAGAAAATGTGTAAAACTTATTGAAATATACTCAAAAATATAAAATAAAGAGAGTTATACCAGGTCTATGGGTAGGGAAAATCCTAGAGAGGTTAATTTCCTCCATTCTAATTTATTATAATTTCAATGAAAAGTACAATTTAAAAAAAATGAAACTTAATTAGTTAATCCTATAATTTATTACTTGGAAGCACAAAGAAATTCCTCAAACTTGATATATTCCAGGACTGATGGGGCTAAGAAAACAGTAAGGAAGACAGAGCCAGAGCAACAGGATTTCTAACCTCGATAAAGATACAAAACTCTGTGGGTTAAACACTTAAATGGAAAAGTCAAAATTTTGGAGTGAGGAAGTTACATGGCATGCCACAAACTTAGAAATAATATTTAGAACATATCAAACCAACCAAATTTTAAGTGTCCAAGAGATACAAATTCCTATGAATTGATAAGAAAAAGACTAATGACCTATTAGAAAATACACAAATAGGCATTTCCCCAAAGAGGATACATGAATGAAAGAAATGCTCAATTAAAAAAAAAATAATGGAAGGGCCGGGGATTGAGCTCAGCAGTTCGGTGGCCTGCCTTGCAAGCGGCAAGGACCTGAGTTCAATCCCCAGTACCAAAACAAAACAAAACAAAACAAAAAAAAACACAAGGAAATGAGTAATCACAAATCAGTAATATTATTTTATAAAATATACAGGTATTAGTAAATGCCTAACAAAACTCAGTACTGATGAGGATGTGGGAAAACTAGAAGTCCAACACGCTGCCGCTGAATGTGTTCAATCACTTTGGATAAGAATGTAGGCTTACCTTCATAAAAAAGAATGAAATTCTGATATTTGTAGTAACATGGATGGAAACTGAAGACATTATGTTATGTAAAATAATTCAGGCACAGAAAACCAAATACTGCATGTTCTCACTTAAATGTAGAAGTTAAGAAGTTCGTTTCACAGTAGTGGAAAGTAAGTTGTAGTCACCAAAGCCTCAGAAGTGTGTAGGGGAGAAAGTGGAGAGAGGAGGATTAATGGATACAAAGTGTAGATGGACAGAACAACTTCTAATGTCCAATAACATGGACAGGTAACTAAAATTGACAATAATTAACTAAATATTTCCAAATAGCTAGTAGAGAGGATTTTGAATAATCACAATACAAAAATGACAAATTTCTCAGGCAAGAGATATGCCAATTAACCTGAATTGATCATTATACATGATATATAAGTATTGAAATGTCACATTATACCTTTTATAAAGATAATTACAGGATCAGTTTTTTTAAAAAAATAGCATGTTAAAAAGAATGTGGGTTTAACTAGCTAAGTTGAATGTACTCTTATTTTACTGTATAATAACTGCACTCCAGGCTATATATCCCAGAGAAACTTCTATGTACATGTAACAAAAGACGAGTAAAATAGAAGAACTTTGGTGGAAGCATTATTTGTAATAGCAAAATTGGAAACAATAAAAGGTTCACTAATAGTAAATGAATAAATTTATCCAAAGAAATACCACATAGTAGTTGAAATATATAGAAAAATGAGAATAAACCTAAGAATGCAGTGAATTAAAAAAGCAAGTTTAAAAAGAATATATTCACTATGGTACTGTATCTACAAAATTTCAAAACAAACAAATGAGAAAATATATTGTAGAGGGACACATATATGGGGTAAGGCAAGAGAGTAAATAAAGAAGTTCAGAAAAGTGGTTTCTTGGGTGGGAACAGATGCTGGAGGAGCAGCATATGGTTCTGGGTGACATCTACTTCTCTGTGTGTGTGTGGATTCAGAAGTGATTTGTTTTATTACTAAGTTCCATAAACTTATGTGGTATTAAGTATGTTCTGATATATGTACAAAAAAAGCCTATAAAATGCTATGTGAATAGAGTTGTAGTGCATGTATATTCAGTGTGATCCCACTATATAAAATAAAAACAGATCCAGGCTTCAGAGTATAGCTTAGTGGTACAGCAGCAATCTAGCAGCGTGAGGGCCTGGGTTTCATCCCTAGAATCATACACGAAAACCCGAAAACCAAACACTTGGATTCTTGTGAGTAAATACGTTGTCTGTGGATTAATATTTGTGTCAAATTCCTTAAGAAATGGATTGGAAAGATAAACCTAAATTCATGATAGTGATTATGCAAGGAAAAAGGGATAAGAGTGGGGAGATACAGGAAAAGGTATCTGGAGACAAAAATGAAGCACAGTTCAATTTTATTTCAAGTGTTTGATTTCTCTTATTTAAAAAAATCAAGTAAAATCAAATTAATTATCCTTAGTCAATGGAAAGGGCTGAAATACACTGCAAGCAATGGGGCAAGGGCCCAGAACACAGTATTCCTGTCCCAATCTTCTTTACCTACCTCTCCTAGAGCTAGCAATGAGGCATACAGACAATATATTCAGTGAAGAGGACAGAGCTTTAGTAACAACACCCTTTTGCTGTCAGACAAGTTCACTTGTTCAGATGAATAATACACGATCACTCCCAAAGCTATAATTAGACCTAGTATGAATAGGTAAGTTATCAGAAAAGCTTACAAGTAAATTAAAGGTTTATATCTACAAAGTTATTTTAAGAAGATGAAAAAAGTTAAAAACATACTGGAAATAATTAGTACAAACACATTTCCTAAATATGAAAATATAATTTCCCTGAGTCACTCTGAGAAACCTTAAAATGATCTTCCAAGAATGGTTCACTTTGAGAAGTCTTAAAACATCTTTCTAGAATGGTAACCACAGGTACCTATGGCCAGTGGTGGTGAACCTTTTAGCACTTTCAATGATACAAACAGCCCGCTGCAGCATGCATGCCATAGGCTCGCCACTATGGATGTAAGTGAATATAGTCACCAAATACTGCTGTCAAGGAAGAAACTCAGAAGTAGAAGACAAGAGATTCCTCACCAAGAAGTACAATGTCTATAGAAAATTTAAACTCAATTTGTGCGCAGTTCAAGTTCTATTTGGTTTTCAGAACTACAAATTTTGTAGCTTCTTTGAACTTAACTGTCTATGCAGTTATTGTAATTGTCTATGCAGTTGTTATTAGTGGACTAAAACAACAAATCTAATAATACTGATGGTTTATACTACTAAGGTGAGTCTTTTAAGAAATAGCCAGTAGTCTTTCCACATGCCCAAGATTAAACTTAGATCCACATCTCTCACCACGCACTAAATTAAAATTGAATAGGATCAAAGATCTAAATATGAAAACAGAAACACTTAATCTGCTGGAAGATAAAATAGGTAAAACTCTTGAAGATAAAAGCGAAAAGACTTTATGAACAAAATCTGAATGCACAGAAAATATTACACAGAGATCAACAACTGCGATCTCCTCACATTAAAAAGTTTTTGCACAGCAAAAGAAACCACCAACAGAGGGAAGACACAACCAACAGAATGGGAAAATTTTTTACCAGATATTCCTCAGACAAAGGACCAATATTTGGAATATATAAAGAAATCAAAAATATCAGAACCCCCACATTTACATACTCAGTCAAAAAATGGACATCTGAATTGAACAGACACTTCTCCGATGAAGTGCAAACAGCAAGTAAATATATGAAAACACGTTCACCATCACCAGTCACAAGAGAAATGCAAATTAAAACAACACTGAGATTACAGAAAGAGTGGCTATCATCAAGAAATCAACCAATAATAAATGCTGGTAAGGCTATGGGGAAAAAGGAACCCTTCTCCACTGTTGGTGAGAGTATAAAATGGTACAACCAATATAAAAATCAGTACAGAGATTCCTCAAAAAATTTAAACTAAAGATTCCATTTGACCCAACAATTTCCCTTGCAGGCATCTTCCTGAAAGAGTT